GTGCAGTTTGGAGGTGCAAGATATCTGAGCGTGTAATGTTAATTTTACCTGTGATCCTTTGAATAAATCAGCACTGTTTTGAAGTTACTTGGACTGCCTCGTCTCTCAGAGTTAGCAATGGTAACAAGAGCCAAAGACCAACAAGCTCCTGGTGTTATCGGTGGCCTTTTGCTACAGTGTTGTTACAGTTGTGAATAATTCATGACAGAATTAACTGCAGCTTCTAAAAGCAGTGATTGGGAGATTTTGGAACTCAAGTCAGACTCAAGTTCAAAGCCATTTTTCCAAACAGTTTTTTCTGCAGCAAAGGCTGTTGAAATCTCATCACAGTGGTTGTAATTATTACTATAATTACTTTCATCTACATTTCCACCACCTGAGTCCCTGATATAGGGATTTAAAGAGACTGTTTTTGACCCAGCTGCTGTGTATCGTTTGCTATTGACTCTGCTGTCACTGAGGTATGTGCTGTGATGGCGGCCATTAGTAAGGCAAAACACACACAGCCAACTTTCCTGGATTTAGGCTAACAATCAATGAGAGCACTCAGATAAGAGCAGTCTAAGTGGGCCATTGAGGTTACATTTAAATGAATACAGGATGCAGCGGTGATGGCATGACACTCCTACCCAAACTGAACTAAAATAAACAACATTAAAATCAGTTCCTTTCTGTTTTGAAATCCCATTCATATAAAGCATCATCTAAAACCCTCGGCCTTGTTCAGGCTTTGAAGTTCATCAGCAGTGAGGACACTGACTGTTACACATTGATGAAAACTTAGCAGTGAGGACACTGACTGTTACACATCGATACCATGAGAATCTTAGTGTGTCAGCCATTTTCATCATGTTGTATCTAGCCACGGTAACTCACCAAGGGTGTGGCCATGCCAGAGTTCTTCTATCTTCTTCATTTCTCTGATTTGCTATGCTTTGACTCTACCTTAATCCCCACTTCTGTGTTCGCCAATCTCTCTCCTTCCCCGTGTTTATAGCCTGGTCACCACATCAGCTACCAACCCTCATTTGCGCCCTCACCCCTCCCTCATGCTTCTCCCTCTGGGTGTAGCAGCCATTGTTGTGCTTAATAAGGTTTATAGAATTACAGATCTCTGAAATTGGATTTTCTCACTTCAGCAAAGCAGGAGAGTTACGGGTTTAAGGCCCAGTGCACGGGGGCACGACTGACCTGTGACTGAACTGCTTTATTCTGACTGTGCCCTCAAGGTGGGCAGATCAAGAGACTGACATGTCAGCAGCTCTGGAGAAAGACAGAAAGACGCATTTTTGGCTCCTAATTCTGAATTTCTGTTTCTCCCCCGTCGACCATTCTCTCTTTCATGAATGCCTATTCTCTCTGTCCTCACAACTTTCAACCGTGTTTGATCTAATTCTAATCTAATCTTTTGATCTTCCTCGCCTGATGCCCATACACCCCAGATTTCTACACCCAGTAGAGCTCAGTTCATTCTAACCTGATCGCCAGTGAAGTAACTGATTCCTAGTGATGTACAGATTCTTGTGTTTAATGAACTGCAGGATTCCATTCCTTGATTCCTCTGACCCAACACCTACCTCATCATACATACTGATTCAGATCACCATCAGTGTATGATGTATGTGTGCATGATGTATCTGCCATCCCTCCACCCCAGTCATACAGTCATACAGTCATACACTGGGGTGGAGGGGTGGCAGACGGGAATGAGAGATGAAGTAAGAAAGCACCAAAAGCAGACAGCAGTGAATGGAACATTGAGATGTTGGCAGGAAGATGGTATTCATTAGGAGTGGCCCATAGTGGCAGCTTAGTGAACTCTTAATTGGAGAAGAGACAGGGCTGGGGATAAGGGATCAATAGGAGCAGAGCCGAGGTGCCAGTCCACTGAAATCAATCAGCCTCCTGCTCAACAGGGAGAACATTGCCAATCAAAGAAAATATGACCTCAGGTCCCTGCTTATTCACCCTCCTGTTCACAACTTCATCAGGATCAGTCAAAAACAGGCTGAGAGGATGGTGGACTTGCTCTTCTTGCTTGGAAATGACATTACAATTTTGGTGTAAATCTGCCAAGAACAAAAGATTATTGTAGCTAATAAAAGATGATTCATTAACACAGGAGCCCTGCATGGAGAGGAATATGAAATGAAACCCTGGTGTATTTTTAATCCACCGCTAAAAATAGTCCCTTTCTCTTCTTCTTCCTCTTCATCTTCCTCTTTGCCTGGGTAATAGCCATCTTTCTACCCTGTCAATTTCTGATGTATCATCCTCTTATTCGCATCAAGGACAAGGCCAGGTGTCGCATTTTCTCTCGGCTGCCACGCTTGTCACACTGCCTTGTCACCCGCAGCCTGTTTCAGTCCCCTCCCTTCTTCCTCCCCCTCTCTGCTATTTGTATTAAATGTGTCACTCCTTTATTTTAGCAAGAGAAAAAGAAAGTAAATCACTTTTGCTGTTCACAGCCTGCGGTCTCTGCTGAATATCGCAAGTTTATGTGGATGTCGTCTTTGGCCAAATAAAATTCTGTGAAAATAAATGATGCTTCTGCTGTTGTGTATTGTTGCCAAACAGCTGAAATTTCTCCTCGTTGTGTCCTCGGCTTCAGTTGTCTGCGTCAGTTATGTGTTAAGCTATCTAGGAATATGCTCCACAGTGCAAAGCGACAGTGATGGGTTTGTTGTGTTATTTCTCCAGATGAACAGACAGACACAGGTGTCCAGCCTCACTTCTCTCTGATGGCTCGGGCAGCGAGCAGCTGGGGTTAGCCCCAGCAATGAGATATATGCGGGCCTAATAGGTTCTGCTGTATATTCTTAGCCTTGCTGCATACTGTATTCCAGAGGGGTGCATGTGTGTGTGAGTGTCATCACATTTCTTGTGTGCAAAGCATTTCACTAAAGACTACAGATGAACCATTAGATGCTTCCTCAGCATGGAGATGTGGAACTTGGTTTGGTTTGGCTCAGGCTGGACACTGACACCTGTCCAATCAGAACAGAGATCTGACAGCTCCACTCCTGTCAACACGTCTTCACACACAGACACAGTTCAAGGCCTTGTAGCCTCAGAATTAGAGGCTGCTGGAGACAGGCTCATGTCAGTGTTAGACAGCAGCTTGATGGGTGAGAAACAGCTATTTCTCTGTAGCTCGGCTGCTTCTGACGCATAGTTTAAAGCAGGATATGGAATTGACTTGTCTGCCTCACGAAAAGTGAGCAGCGCCAACATAACATTACAAACAGAAACAGATTAGTAGGACTTGCTCAAACATGTCCTGGAGGGTGAGAGATAATTATGTTAAAAATGAGATCATTTTTATTTCTGGCTGAGGTCTAATTAAACCACATGCTGAATATTACCTTCTTCCTCAGGCGTCATTCAAATATGGACTGTATTTTGTGTGAACAAATGTAAAATGACATGCCATGTGTGGTTGTTTATCATCAAATCTTACAGTTCTTCACTGTGGTTTCATCTACAACAGATGTTTCACCCTTCTTGGGGTGTCTGTGAGGGAGGGGTGGCATCTGACCTGGAGAATGGTTTATGGTGTCTGTTAGGTTGAATCAGAATGCATTTAATGTTTATAATTTTAAAAGTTAGCCTGGCTCTAGATGTTGCATATGTTCCAAGTATTCATCCACTTTGGACTTTGTGTTTGTTTACAGAACTCGGGAGCCGAAAGTGGGAGAGGAGAACAACCGAGACAGCTTGTTTAGAAAGGACGGTAAGGCTCTGCACCTTTATCATCACTGAAATGTAATCATAGTACCTAACTGTGCAAGGCTCCTTTCCTCCAATGCAGTCACCCACTGACCTCTCATGTATTTGTTTTTATGTCTAACTCCTTCATTTGAGGAACTATGCAGGAATAAGTCGGGTTCTTATTATTGTTCCTGTTACCATGGATTCTTCATATCTTGGAGGAAACAAACATACAACACAGCAGGCTACAGTTAATGTCAACACTTTTACTCTGGGGGATAGATCTGTCACCTCTAGGCGACTTGCTTGTCACCACGCTTCAAACTGTGTCAAAATCATATCAGCTCATTTGATCTGCCTGCTGCTGATTAGCATCTCATTCCGCACAAATAAAAGGATGCTTGCTGTTGGCTTCACTGAGATGGAATCCATGATCAAAGAGAGCGATGGGTCCTGTCTGTTGTGTTGTGGCCACAGCAGTGGCCGTCAGTCCGAATGGTGATTATGATAGAAAAGAGGAAAGACGCTAAAATGAAAGACATACAGACTGGGGGTGAGCTGAGGCTGATGGAAATAGTATGAGAATTAACAACTGGGGACAGAAAGCCCCAAATTATTTAGTCAAAATCTGAAAAAAATCACTTTCACCCCCTGTGGCTTTGAGCAGTAAACTAGCTTTATGCCTTTACTAAACAAGCAACAATAATACAGGCAGTGTATTATGCATTAAATCAGTCTTTGGAGGCCATGAGTTTAAAAAATGGAAATGCTTTTGTGCAAACTGTTTTAAAAAGCAAACAAATCTGCATGATTTGGACACATCACCACTGCAGTGCTGCCACTGTCCCACTGGCTGTTTACCAGTAACATACACGGAGCTGCTGCTGTGAACAGCTGGATAGCAGCAGCTCTCAGCACATGTGGACATATTATGGGCACAGCTGACTCATTATCAGTTGCAAAAATATCAGTATGTGTGACTGTAATTATCTCTCCTTTTTTAAATAACAAACGACTCACTACAAACACAGCCATGATAGTGCACTGTTTGGTTTGTGGAAGAAGAACTTGCCTGACTGTGTAAATGTTCTTGACAGAGCATTTGAGGAAGCTGAACTTTGATTTTCCTTCTTGTCTCTGTGACACTAGCAAGAGCAGACAGGTGAATGATGAGCCTTTGGTAAACTATTCTGTTTGAGAACTGATCTCCACTTCAAAACCTCAGAGTGAGGACAACGTTCACCTCTCGCTTTCTTCTTCCACTTCTTGTTGGCAAAGGGTGCCTTTGGCAGTGCAGGATAAAAACCAAATGTCTTCAAGAGAAAACTCTTCAAAGGCACAGTTCATCTTCTGAGTGAAGACCTCATCAAGTCAGATTTCTTCTCTGAAACCACTGTCCCTTCCACAGAGCTCTGACTGGCTACGAACAGACTAATGTGATATTTCTCATCCATTTCTTGCAGCTGGTTGCATAAGGTGCTTTTGATATTTTGTGGGCGACAAAGGGATATTTTCCCTGAACACCGTGGGGGATTAGCATGTTGTTGGTGGCAATTTTTCTTCAGACTGATTCTTCACATCCTCCCTGGGGTATGTGGGAGCGTTTTCCTGACCCTCATTTTCCACATCAGCAAAATGGAAACTGCCAGCTTGCTGCAAGCCTGCCTTCTGCCCACTGATTAAAAGTCAAATATTACAGTGCTCTGTTGTGAGTTTGCCCTAATTGATTCTTTCCGCCGGGTGCACACAGAATGGGCTGACAGCAGGCGATACCAAGCTTTGTCAACACTGGGCATGCTGCCTAACGCTCAGGACGGCGCCCCAGTAAAGCCCCCTGTGAGTGCGCCAGCCTGCGGCGCCACACACAGAGGGGCCGCTTGGTGCTCGGGCCAGACATCATAGTTACAACAGAGAAGTGGTTCATTCTTTTGCTGTGTGTCAGCTCCTATTGGTGGGCTGGGAAATCAGTTCTCTATTTGTAATGAAGTAGCTGGCTGTGAAGAAACACTGTGTGTGTGTCTTTACACTCGGAATAAAAATCACTTCTGCCCACTTGCATAACCACTCAGCTAACTTCAGCTTTCTGGTGCAATGGTGCTGAAAGGAGGTTCCATCTGAATTCCACAAAAGGCCCTCTTCCTCTTTCCCGACCTGCAGCTCTCCTTTATGGCTTTAATAGCTTTTGATTGCAGCCGTGTTTAAGAAGAAGCTTACCAAACACAGGATGACACCGAGTATGTCATCACTATCCACCTTATGAAAAATGGCAGACATCTGGTGGAGATTCTGGTTGAAGCCTCATATCTTTTTCTTTTAGTGTTTTAACCTCCCTTAACTACAACGTGGGGATAATTAATTGAATCTTTACAGCAGTAAAAGGGTGTCCCTCTCTCCTCCTTAGAACAGTGTATTCACCCCCCTCTCTTGTCTGCTTACCCTATGAATTTACAGGCCATTTTATGGGCATCTTGAATTGGCTTTGCTCCCCATTTATTTTTAATGCTTTCTACTTCACATGTAGGAGAGTGCGACAGCGATCCAGGTCCTGTGCGACCTTCATTAAGCACAGACATTCATCCACGACGCTTTTCTCATGAATCTGATTGACCTTTTTGTTCAGTGTGTTCCGCAGTAAAAGGTTATAGGTGCTTATTAACCCCCCCATGCTGGAAGAACATATATCTCCTGTTCTGTCTGATACTTTATGTTCCATCGGAGCTGATAGGAAGGTGTGGTAAGAAGGTGTGTGAGTGGAGGTCAGAGAGCCAGCCAACGGTGCGGTAATTACTCTGTTAGTGAAATGGGGCTCCGCTCTGCGCTCTGACGCAGCGCTAATTGCAACACAAGGGTGATGAACTTGATCAAGGTGCTGCTAATTAGTGTTAAATATAAGAGAGAGAGAGGGTGAACAAGCTGCCATCAGGTGTGTGAAGAACATTTTGAAGAGGAGCTCACAATCACATGTACCTTTTCTAGCCATGAAAATTCATTGCATTTAGTATTTGGATTTTTTTCAATTTCCCATGTCAGCATGACCAATCATGGAATTTTGTGTCCCAGCTGCCTCGGTAGTAAAGACCACACTGAAGTAATCACAGTGCCCTCTCCCCCGAGTAGTGAGCAGGCACTTCATTTCTACCTCCATCCTGTTACTGCCCTGCTGTTGATCCCAGAGGGGGTCCAGAGGCTGAGTGGGGGTCACGATCACAACCACGGGTGGGGGGTGGAGTGACAGCTGGCTCAGTTTCTGACAGGCACATAATGGAGGGCTAATAGGAGACAGTCGAGTCCCAGAGACCACTGCTATGACCTTGACATGAGGCAGGCAGGTGGAGAGGAGGAGGGACGGAGGCTGACAAGCAGCTGGTCTAAATATCTCTTTCTCTCCTTTCTCTCTGCTCTTTGCTTACCTATTACTTATCTAACATTAGTTTGGGGGGCTTTGCAATTAGTTGTTATTTCAGCAATTCCTTGTACTGAGAGAAAGGCTTCAAGTATTTTTCTGCAAGTGCTGATAAAGTCTTCTGTATGGGGGATTAATTATTGAGATCACAGCAAGTCAGTCCTTTTATTACTAGATATAGACTGAAACTTTTTTAGTTTTAGAAGCAGATTTCAAGTTTTGATTACTCTTAAAGAGCCCATGGCATGCTCATTTTACTTGTTTCCAGCCATTCAATGTTTAATCTTGGGTGCCTCTAGATTATCTTGGCACCCCTCATAACTTCTAATAGTCTATTTTTTAAGAATAATAAAACCAAAAAGCCTCTTCCTTAAAACGAGAGGGTAGTTTGTGAATGTGCACACCTCCTGTTGCCGGTGTCGTGTTGCCGCAGCACAACGAACTGTGATGGCATTAATTAATGTGAATTTCTCCTCCATAGATATGTAAACAACGGTATATATACAGCGATGAAAAGAGATGTGTAACTCTCTAATCAAAGGAGGTTGTTGAGAATAATGCAGACATAGTAACTTCTCCAGCTTTACAACAATTCTTTCTAACATTATAGAAATAAGGCATAAACAGAGATACAATGTGGTTTTTTTTGTGTTAAACTTATCATTAAGTCCCACCAAGTATTGGAAACATCACTCCCTTTCAAGTAGCTCCAAGGTCAGTAAATCCAACCGGTGGTTGTTGCGCCTTCCCCCATACGCCCACATACAGTCTCAAAGTAGTGAAATTAACAGGTAGCGTAGCTCTGGCAATAACATCATGGATCATTAATCTGCTTGTTAACCAGCAACACATCACATGTGGCAGACACACTGGCCTCAAGCAGTCAGAACAAACAGGTACTGTCCTCCGAGGGAATCCAGCATTAATGAGCTGATCATTAACCATGGTGGTGGCTTCACTGGCCGGCTGCTTGTAGGTTAGACCCGGTTAGGTAAAACAGCGAGTCCTTGTACTGGAATATTCCTGGACATGCAGTAACCTCAGGCCTTGTATTTTTTTCCACATCCTCTGGTCACAGTGCAGCAGCAGGAGGTAGAAAACATCCACAAAACCAGGTGCAGTCAAAAAATTCTGCTTTCACAGTGGCACTGGTGGATGTCAGGCAAGCTCACATGAATGCGCAAGAGGTGGGATTTTATGCCCATTCAAGGAGATCCTTCCCAGACATGTATAAACCGTGTTGCTTCTGCATAGATATACTAGAACATATGTTCACCTCATTTTTCGAGCTTTAGCTCACATCTAAGATGATAATTCAATGTTGTAACATTAGATAAGTCAGAAAACAAGGAAAAGCATGCTACAGGCTCTTTAAGTAAAGTTTACTACAAGCAGTTTTTTTTTTACTTGATGACACTGCTGATCTTTTGAGTCCCTTAATCATTTGTTTCAGTGGTCACAGGCAGCCTCCACTTTCTCTGCTTCTGAGGCTTCATGATGCCCCAGGAGAGTGGGTTTATAATTAAAGCAAAAACACATGCCAGTAAACACTTAGTAAAGCAAATGCTTGTACAACAGGTTTGGAATTATAAAATCCAGTCAGGCAGTTTTCTCCCATT